AAATCAATAAAATCACAACTTTAAAAAGGGATGAGTGTTGGTGTAACACACTGCTTTCCAGACTTATAATCAAGACAGAAACTTAGAGAAGACTTAGGTGTCTCCAATATGTTAAGAGCTATGATACTGAAGTGATATCGTTCACAAGGGTATTCTAACATTGCCCAGTTATGAAATGTCCTGTACTCGGAGTAACTTTGATAAATAACATCCAGCTATGTGTCAGTAACCATGGTATGCCAGTCTCTGCTCTGTTCTCAGGTTGGCTGGCAGCCAATGGCTGCCAGTGTAGAGATTTACACAAGGGCTATGTGTAAATTACTCAATGTTTCTGCAACTACAGGGCCCAGTTGGAGGAAGAATTTATTTAACTCCGAACAAACTGTTTAACAGCATACTACTACAAAATCTATTCCAGCTGAAGAAGACCCTTAAGTGTTTATAGAAAGAAATTAAAGATACAAAAACTTTATAATAAAAGGAAGGCTGTAAGATTGTTAGAGGGGGGTTTTTTGTTCTTTTTTAAAATACAAAAGCTTCTCTCTCACTTCCTTTCTTTTTCATTCTGAAATCTTCCTCTTCACATGTTTCTCACCTCAGTACTACCATTCTGTACAAGCAGGCATTATAAGGTAATTTTATTTATCCATCCACAATGCTTAAATTTATCTTTGGAAATACCGTCAAGTCTGAAAACTGGATTCAAGCAAAAAAAGGTGGTACGGTGACTTTTTGTTTATGACCACACAATCACTGGGAAATTATATCCTCTTAACTGTGCTTTCACATTGTTCTGTAATCTTGAGGAATGGAACTAGCATTAAGAATTACCAAACCTTTTAGATAATAAGTCAAAAACAACTTGGTAATAAACTCCATGCAACCTAAACTCATATTCAGCCTGGATATACACAAAATATACATGTTATGTGGTACAAGTTTGCAAATTTTAAAAAATGATTTTTTATTTTCCTTTGTACAATGTCTTAAATTATTCACTTATATTACAGCATAAAGAAAATAATGTACTGGAAATACAGCAGCAGTTTAATTTTCCAGCCAAATATTTATAAACGTCTGTAAGCAACAGTTAAGTATGCAAATAATCTAAAAAGGCCTTAACAAAACAAGCACACATGCAGAAATGCAGCCTTCAAAATTCTAGAATAAAATATAAAATAATATATGAAAAACACAACAAAATATCACCGAGCCTGCCATTATGGACATACCTTCATTTTTCCTGGATTTCACCAAGGTTACTTTGGTAGGTTTTGCAGGCTGACTAGAAGCAATAGATCTTCTATCTGATCTTGGTGATAAACTTCTCTCTCTGCTTGCACTTCGGTCTCTTACCCAGCTCTTCTCATGCTTTCTGTTGGCACCCGGACCACCACGTGCACTTCTTGGATCCTGTATCTCCTCATCAAAGCTATCCTCCTCATTTTCAGATACCGGTTCTGGTTCTGGTCTGGCTACTGGAATCTGAACTTTTTTCATTCTTCGGATAGTCTGTAACCAGTAGCATTAACTGCTCAGTTTCTGGCTATATGCAAAATACATCTTAAAAGTGAGCAATAAGCCACAGCCTCGACTTCTACTACCACATTGGAGGAAGCACATCTGAGACAGATTTCAAAAGCAAGAATATGGCTTCACTTATTTCTGGGTTTGGCATGTCGGAATGGGAGTGGAGGCAAGGGTCACACTCAAACGTGATGCTCCCTGGAGGTATGAAGGGCACAATAGGCACACGCTTACAAAGGCATATGAGGCTGTAAATAAATTATTTTGCTCTAGTTTATAACTTTTAAAATGCTTTGGAATAGAAGACAAAAGCAAGAAACAGTACAAACCTCTGCAGTACAGAGACAGTATGAAGGCAGAAGTTATCTTTCCCAATCAGCCCAAAAAAGTCGTCAGGCAGAGTTCTGCCTCAAAACAGACCCATTCAAAACAGTTTTATGTAATCTCCCAAGTGAAACAGTCAATGATCTAAGGTAATAGTCTTGATGACTGTCCCAAGAGCAAGAGTGGGATGCAAGGTCAGCCTGACGGAACACATCACATCACAATTTCAAGAATGGCAACAATCATGTAGAACGCTGTCAGCACCTCCCACTCTTCATCACAAAGTAAGAGACGTAGCGTTCTGCTAACAGGCAGAGTCCAACAATAGGTACAAGAAAGATGGGCCAGAGAGAGCTATTCAGGAAATTCGACTCTAGGTAAATTGATGAAGAATTCTGCTGCCCAAAGAAAAATGGACACATGCCAGAGCACAAAACCAGGGGGAATGGGGCTCAGGAGCTATGTACAATATTGTCTCTCTAAAGGAACTACCAAGCTCCAAAAAAAGTTGCAGAAGCCCATAATGGGAGATACCAAATAGTGAACAATACTTAGATAGACAATGTTTCTCAAGTTCAAATACTTGATCATTCTAGCTCTAGTTCCAAAGAAACAGCAGCTTCAGAAGTACGTAAGGGGTCCAAGATAACGTCATAACTTTAAACACATAAGCTTTCTGCTTTTAAACTGCAACTGATCCTTATGATCCCTTTGTTAAGGCAATGCTTAATGAAGTGTGGCTAGAAACAAAATTAAGGCCAAGGCCATTTGGACTGATCATAAATTCCTCTGTTTCCACTGGCAGTTCTACCCAATAGATGAGGAGAGAAGAACCCACCAGTCTAGACATGGGGTACTCAGCCTAAGGCCTACAGGCCTGAGGCCCCCATGAGTTTGGAAATCTGACAGTGGGATAGCAGTGGCACCGCTTCCAAACTGCCAAATTTCTGGACCTAAAGGGTGCCCCAACCCATGCACAGTAGATTGGGTGCCTGATCCCAGAACGCAGGGCAGGGGAAGCATCAGGCTCCTGAGTCCAATCCCAACATGCAAGGGGCTGGGAGAGTATGGCCCTGGGTTCAAGGACACAGTGCTGATGTGGGCAGCCAATGCCAGTCCCCCTCTCCTCACCCCCCTTTCTCCCAAGACCTAATACTGATACACTGGGGGAGAGCCAGGCCCCATGGGACCATTTCTACAGGAGAGGGGCAGCACAGGTCCCTGGGGACCAAACCCAGCACACCAGGGCAGGAAGGGGAAGTGCCAGACCCCAGGGCCTGATCCTGGTGTGTGGGGCTCAATAAGTCCCAAAGACCAGCTCCACCTCACTTCTCTGGCCTGTGAGGCAAAAAGGTTGAGCACCACTGGTTTAGACAAAGTGTTGTCAACCAGGGTACCGTGAAAGCTTTTCAGGGGTACCACAGAACCAGGTGGAACTATGCCTTTATTTCTACAAGATGCTGCAGGGCAGACCAGGAAGCAGCTGGAGCAGAAGCCTAGCAGGAACAGGAGCCTTACCAGTCCCATCTCCACACCCTCTCCTAAAAACAAAGGTGCAGGGGACAGTTCTGCCTAGCTACAGCTGAGTGATTAACCAGGGCATGAGCCCCAGGCACTCACCATGGAGAATGCAGGCTAGGGGCAACAGTGTAACTATGGAAGGGGCAAGCAGGGCACCAGCCCCAGGCTCTAACTTCAAGAGGGTACCTGCATGACTACTCCCTTAAAGAGTCTTTGCTGTAGCAGGAACACTCTGGCAGGCACAGCGCCATGGCCAGCAGCGCATCTGAGGAGAGGAGGAGGTGGAATGACTACCCTGCCCCAAGCTTCACCTGTCCTTGGGGTGGGGAGTGAGCAAAACACTGGAGTAGCCTGGGCAAACCCACACTGCTGTTTGTTCCCTTTGGCAGCAGCCTGAGCCCATGCTGCTACCACAGCAATTGTAGCTGCTGCTGCTCTGGTGAGAAGAGTTGAGGTGGGGCTCTCCTTTCCCACTCCCATCCAGTGCTCAGCATAAAATCGCCATGCACACCCCCGTCTCCCCCCCCTTGATATGCTTCAGCAGCCAGAAGGGGGTGCAAAGGGTCTCTGCTCTGCACAGGCCCTGAGTGCAGCCAATCAGGATTTCCTACAGCATGCCCTGCCCGCCTTCTTTCTCCCCAACATTTCCTTTAGTTAGTCTATAAAGCTGCATATCTGCCTTCTAACCCTTTTACACCCATAGCAAAATTAAGTCTTTTACAGCCAAGCTCTACATGCAGATCACCAGCACCTGTCAGAGGGTTCACAGGAGGAGGGGCAGAGGCTGACAAGGTGACTCCAACTCTGGTCTCCACTGCAAGCCTGTATCCCCCTACTTGAGCCTAAAATGTGGCTGGAAAGACTCTGCCTGGCCCCTCCACCCCTGTACCCACCTCCCCCTGTGCCCTGGGCATAGAAATAAGTAATTATGTTGCTGGAAAAGTAGTTTTCAACTGGGGTGCTGCCAAATTAAGAAGAGTTGTGGAGGAAAGCCTCCAGTTAAAAAGGTTGAGAACCCCTGGTCTAGACGGTGGGAGCGCTCTGCTGAACGCTCTACTTCATTGCCAGTCAGTTACATTATCTAGTTTGCCACATCAGCACATACTAGTCCTGCCGCTACAGTTAAAACAAAGTGGTAACTGCTAAAAAAAAAAAAAAAAAAAGAAAGAATGACAACTATTGCTCTGTAATGCTGTCTTCTCTTTCTACAGAACTGCAAATCGGAATAATCCCTCTTTATCTAAACACATACACAGAGTCACTTGAACCGCTCAAAACTTCACTAACATATAATCTATTGTATACTCAATATCTTATTGACAGTAGTTCTGTTCAGGTTTGGAACCTGCCAATTTTCCAGGGTTGTACTTAAGCAAGCCAGAGATGGAAGAGGGTACTGTTGCTGAAAAGTTAAAAGTCAGGTTTTAATCTTGAGTTCAAACATCTATATTAATGGAAACTGATTCTACTTGAACACTCTACATCAGTAATGCACAAACTAATTTAATATTTTCTTCCTCACTTGCTGCCGGTTTATCTAAATAGTCACACAATACAATTATCTGGATAACGTCAATATGAAACAAAGTCAGTTTAAACAAACCACAGATCTTCCACTGGTTTGCTCTGAAGCACTTCCATACCCATTCCTGCAAAATACCAGCTTTCCAAACTAAAAACTTCAGACTGACATGAAGAAGGTTATTTCTGACATCTGACAAACCTAATGGACTGCAAGATTTATAATTTAAAATGCAGAGTACTGAAATTATTGCACCTATGTATGCAGAGCTGAAAAGAGCAACACACAAAACTGTCAGGACAAAAGTCAGTTTACAAACCCTAAAAAAGCTCACTTTCCAAAACTGAACAATTGCTAGGCACTGTGTTTATTTTCTATTCTATTTTTTCAGTAATATAAATCTGCAGAGTTTACAGAAAACTAGATTACTACCTCTTAGTAATGACCAGCTTTGTTGTTTTGCAAGTTAAAAAGCCATCTATACGCTCTGAGTAAGTCTGCAAAATTACAGGAATTAAGGTAATTACACCTTACTCCAGCAAATTGTTTGCTACACAAAAAAGAACTTGTTAGGGCCTGAACAGTGAGCAGAGGCCTCTGGCACACTAGTTCTCTCAAAAGCATGATTAACAAAAGTGTGATTGAGAAAGAAAAGAAAAAAAATTCAGGGTTGGGAGGAGGCTGGGAGACAAATCACCTTCAACCTAGAAGGATTTCTTTATGATGCCAGAAACAAGCATCTGAGAGTCAAAGTCTGGGTGGCCAAATACCAAGGTCTAAATTTACAAAAGTGATTTTGGGAAACCAACAGAACATTCACAGGATTAGCAAAACAATCCAAAATCCTTTGAACTGGATCACCTGCCACAGTGTCGCTGATTAAACTTGAATTATATGCATGTCATAACCTATAAATCATTGACTGTATAGCTACATATACCAAATTTAAGCCATAAAAATACATTTACTTACAATTTTAGCATTTTTTCCACTTTTTCTCAGCTGCTGAACAGCAAACGCATGTTCTACATTATCCATTGAAACACCATTAACCATTGCAACACGGTCATTTTCCCTTAAAATAAAGAAAGAAAGAAAAGAAAAGAAAATGTAATGTGTATTAATTTCCTAAAAGAATCCTGAAGAAACCAGTTCAGTGTAAGATCCAGTGATTTATCAAAAGGTAACTGGGAGGTCACTAGTCACTACTGTCAAACATTCATGATTCAAATATAAATGTAGCTCTAGTTCTATTTCATTACTTACTGTAGCAATCCTTCTGCTGGACCTCCTTTCAGTACATCAGAAATAACTATTGATGTTTCACCACTCTGAAAATGGGGATTATCTCTTCCTCCAGATATTGCAATACCAAATCCAAATCCTGGAGCCTAGAACAGAAAAGACACAAGCTTGGTCCAACCATGACTTCCTAATATACACAAAGAAATTTGTGGGTTTGTCAAAAATTTAGATGAGCATTATAATTTATTTATAGTAGTATATGTCAAGTATTAAGAGTGTCATTAGTCTTCATATAAGGATCCAAAAAACATATTAAGTCTTGTATCTGTGAGAGTTGTAAAGGGATGTCCCAATGGTGAATATCTCATCAATCCATGAAATGAAATTCCCTTTGCAGAAGGAGAACACATAATAAACCAGGAGTGAGGGGCATTCCTACACAGCTAAGAATAAGACACAAACAGAAAAATTATACTACTGACAACAAGGGGAAAAATTAAACTGTTGGCCCAGAGTTGAAATTTGGGCAGAAGAGTAAGGTTCAAGGCAACATTCTTAGAAAGGAGGCTTCAACTTTGTTATAACTAGTGACACCCTTAATTCATGCCTTATCTTAATAGCTTCATCTCCACATACAGTAGCTCCAACACTATGCTGAAATATTAGTTCCATCACTTCCTGCAGTGCTCAAGTGTTCCTTCAAACTTTCACACTGCAGTACTACCTACCCTGACTCTGTTTAGTTCAAGAGCTAACAAGATTGCAGGCAAGGTAGCAAGAATGCAGGGTCATTTCTAAGTAATAACATTTCAAGGTATGATATGGCAATTATTCTTTTAAATTTCCAATCTACCTAGAAGCAGTAATGGTGCAAAATAAATAAAGTTTTCTGAATATAACTGATTTAAAAACTTTTTCCCCCCTGCACCATGCTGTGGCAAGCAAAAATGCTGCAAAAAAGCACAAGATATTCTTTAGGACAGGGGCACCAAACCTCCAGACTGCAAAGCCTCTTTATTTGTCCACTGGGTAGCCTGGTGGGCCGCCAAAGAATTTTTGGACTAGATTCAAGGATTACTTGGTAAAACTGTAGGTCTATATGCAGGAAATGTATTTCAGGACTGTAATAGCCACATGTGACTTAAAAATAAATGGTCTATGAAATCGTGAACAGACACTAAGGTAATCTGGTTCAAGCAGTAAAACTCAGAGGCAGTTTCTCACCTTTTTCACACTGGTTTTACAGTAGTGCAAATTTATTAATTTCAGTAATGTTTGCTCCTTTACGTTTACCTTACATGAAAATAAGCAGAACTGAGTTCATGCTAAAAAAGGAAAAACCCCAGGAGATGAGTTTAAATTGTGGAGAATTAACATATAATCTTGTTCTCTCTCCTTATCATCCCATGAACCACAAGGACAGAAAGGACTGTCTTTTCTATTAAGTTAGTACAGTAAAAGCTGTGTTAACTGGCATTTTAGTAACTGGCACGCTCTACTAACTGGAACTTCCAGCCAGCACACTGTGGGGGGGAGGGGGCAGGGGAGCTTGCACGTCACCCCCCTCCACCTGACCACATCCAGCCAAAAACCCCTGCCTCAGGTAACCAGCATTTTTGGATTACCGGCACCCGCTATTCCTCACTCACGTAACAGAGCTTTTACTGTAGTCTTTACACGTGTGAAAAATATTCCACCCTCTTCAAGTGCCTCCACTGAGGTTATAGGATACAATTCAAATTGCATGGGTATATTGAAAGTTATATTACAAATAAACATTTTGATTTTTCCATACCTATGCACGTTATAAACTTTAGATACTGGTGCAGCAGCTTTGACAAAGAACCCTAAGAGGTGAAAAATAACCTTAATATTTTAGTCTTCTATCAACAGTTTGGGACACTAAAAGGATATAGGACGTGTAGACAATATACGTAGATTAACTACAAATCTATATACACACACATCTCAAATATGCCCTTGTAGTTAATCTACGTATATTGTCTACACATCCTATATCCTTTTAGTGTCCCAAACTGTACTAGGGCAAACGGGACAAAATAGTGGTATACTTTTCATCACTTGAACTAAGAAATAAATTTAAGAAAGTGGAAAAAAAAATATTACAAAAACAAATGTAAAGAATGATTGGACGCTGAATCTTCTTAATGAGATCAAAGAGTGTTCCGAATGAATTTTATGAGCATAGAATTTTAGCCCCTTCTCAAAAAACAAACAAACAAACTCCACACTTTCACTCATAGATGTAAAAATTTTAAGACTGCTCAGCAGAAAGCGAGTAAAATGCAAAAGCTACCAGATTACCTTTATTTGAACCCAAGGCCAACTCAGACTGCTTAAGACAGGGGTGGTCAATCTGTAGCACAGGTGCCACAACTGGCATGAACAGCATCACTGTGTGGCACAGATCAGGAAGGGAACAGGCAGCACAGCAGCAGATAGGGCAGGAAATAGAAAGCAGAGCAGCAGATCAAGCAGAGAGCAGAAAATAGAGCAGCAAACTGGTCAGAGGAAGGAGATCAGTGGCACTTGGGGATGGAGTGCAGGAATAATTTATGCCATGCCTACCTAAGTAAAAATGGCCACTCCAAGAGAAAAATAACCTGGGCACAACAAGCACCCGGGATGGGGAGGGAGGGGGCGGTGTTTTAATTAGAGCGACTCTGAGAGACTCTCTAAAGCGCCTGCAGTGCCTTGTGTATTCAATGTCCCACAATTCAAAATGGCAGTGAGAGCACTTTAACATTCATTCAATGAGCTTTAGTTAAAGAGCCCACACCGCCATTTTGAAGCATCAGGACACTGAATACACGTGATGCAGAGGCTGCTGGAGTGCACTAATTAGCATGCTCCAGCAGACTTGATTGAGTCCTCTGACACATGCTAATTAGCATGTGTCAAAGAAGAGGTCTATCACATGTATACGTGCCAAACTAGCGTTAAATCACTTCCAGGACAGTTTCTCCTTGGAAAGCAAATATCTGCACACAGTAACAGGCTAACTGTGGGCCATCTAGGCTAGCCAATCAGGGCTGCCCTATGAACTGTTGTCATTTGTTGCCAGACAGACTAAGAGAGCCTGTAGTGTATACTGAGATGTGTGCACTACACTCCCTCTCCACCACCACCCAGCTGCACAGTCAGCACTGTAAGCTCTCTACTCTTCAAAGCCTCAGCATTCAAATGTCTGTACACATGGCTCTGGGTAAGTTTTTCTACCACAAGAACAAATCTTGGAGAGTTCTCCAAGGTTATTTGAATGGGTATACTCAGCCTAATTCAGAAATATAAACTAATTTATTACCAGCAGCACGTGAATAAAAAGCTGCCACCTCCCACTTCTTAAGTCATCTAAATGTTTTTAGTTCAATCTTTAAGTGCCAGTAAGCCTTCAAACACTGAAGATTTGCATATTCAAATAGTGACTACCATACTTCTACTTTATTAATGAAGTATCACCCAATGATCTTATCTGGTAGTGCTCAACCTTTCAGCCTCACAGGCCAGGTGAGTGATGCTGATCCTGTCCACAGGCCAAATGCCTTTAAGAGGCTGGCACATGGGGCTGGGTCCTGCACTACCCAAATCAGACCCTGCAACTCCCAGTCCAGTGTGCCCAATCTACTGCACAGGGGCCCACATTCCAGCCCACTGGACTCCCCACAGCTCCAGAAGTTTGGCAGCAAGGGAGAAGCAGTTAACACTGCCACAGCTCCCCACTGCCAAATTTCCAGACCCTTGGGCAACCCAGTAGGCCAAGCAACACAGCTCTATCCAGGGGTTGGACACCCCTGATCTGGTCAGTTAAACTTGCTTAAAATAGCATTCTGTGCCTTTTAAAATGAATTCAAGGCCAAGCAATATGGTAAAACCAGGATGCATCTTACATCTATCTGACAGTTTAAAAAAAAAGGTCTTGAACCGTTGTACTTATTTGGTTTACAAGGAAGTCAGTATAAACACTAGATTACTCCACTACATGCATGATGAAAACATTCAAAATATTAGCAATTGTCATAATAAGTCAGAAAAAGTGGGTGCTTCCACTTTAGAACAGCTGTTCAACAGCTGACATGCTCAGGAACATATAGCATTTGGTCTACAATTAGTGAACTGAACTATGAATTTGCCACTTAAAATCTTCTTTGACTTTAAATATGTAGCTCTACTCTGAAAAGCAGTGGCATGTAAAACAGCACTTACTTTCTTCAGTCTGTTTACTGATTACTTTTAAATGACTTAATTTAGTTATAAACCCTGAAAGAGCCGTACCACTAACTGAGCTCTGGGAGGGTAAGAGGAAATCTACTCTAGCTTACGCATCAGCAACTGAATTGTTAACCAAATCCCACTGTGGAATGGCTATTATTGGTGATGCCTGGGCCAGAAATAACCCAGCTGACTTGGCAGAGGTGGCAGCCAGAAAAAGCAAACATTTTATTTGCAAACTGAGCAGATTTGATTTGGAGGTCACCAAGGAGCAAACAGAGAACCCTATAATGCCACTACTGAAATAGTATCTAAGAAGAGAATTGCACTTGAGGTCTTCTTAATGATTAAGGCAAGTACCTATACAGCACACATGTTCTGTACAAAGCAAGTTCCTAGTTCTACAGTTAAACTGAAGCAAGGTTGGTGCATCCATGGAGCCTCACGGAAACTCTTGAGGTCTACCTGGGACAATTTTAGGGAAGTATTTAAACCTCTACACCATGGTGAAGCAAGTATCACTCTCTATTTTTTTTTTTTAAGAAGTAAACAGTAGAGGCAAAGGACTTCCCAACAGAAACTAAGTATTTAAAAGGTGGGAGGGTAGGGGTAAAAGTCAGTAATTGCCAGGATGCAGCCTGGAAACCTCTCCCACCCCACAAAAAACTGCAAACACTTCTGCATTTATAAACAATAAGTTTCAGAGAGGGAGATAAAATTGGTTTTATAATTCTAGGCTTGCTACAAGCATTCTCACTACAAGTCTATTTACTAACAGGACATGGAAGTAAGCCTCAAGCACGGACAACAAATGTATTCCAAGGGGATTCCAACACTTCACTGAACTACATACTTGACTTGGAAATATATTTTTGCTTTCCTCCTTTCAAAGAGTTGCTCAGTATAGAAGAAGCTGTAGTGTTTCCTATTACCAATTTTTTATGGTACATGCAAGTCCTGGCAATAGGTGATAAGCAGAGATCCTGATTTTGTTTTAAAATTGCAACTGCTCTGATCAAAACCCCAAAAATCCACATTTTCCATGATTAAAATTATTATTAAAATAAGTAATGCTATGATTATATAAAATATTAATCATTAATCATTTCATGATTAAAATTAATATATTATATATAGGTATCTGTTGAACACAATGTTTTATTGATATATTTACAATTTAAAAGCAATTTGGAAGTGTACCAGTGCCTCAACCACTATAATAAAATATATTCTAAATACCTATACATTTTGCCAGATGATTTGGGGGGGTTTTATCATGGAAAAAACCAGAGCTCCCTCTGCCCCCTTCGCACACAAGGACATAGGTCCAGCTACAGCTGTCGTCCCCCTTCCCCATTACTCTGTGGTGCTAAGCAGCCCCGATATGCCGGTGCCCTGGCCTTGCCATGGCCCCTCACTCCCAACCCACAGCCTCCTGGCCCCGCTGGTGCCCCTCACTCCCAACCCACAGCCCTCTACTCCCAGCCCCCAAAGTGTGCAAGGAAGAGACTGCGTGTGTGGGGAAGGCGGGGGTCACAGGAAATGTGGTGGTGCGGGGGGGAGGGGGGAGGCACATGCGCCCTGAGATTTCTGTTCCCACAGAAGCGCATAGGGCTGCAAGCCAGGCCAGGCCAGACCAGCTCCAGAGGAGCTGCCTCGGCAGCCTGGGAGGCAGGACCCAGCATGTGAGGGCGTGCTGCACCACCACGGTGAGACACTGCAATGACAGCATGGAGTTTTCCCCTCCACTGCTGCTAGGCAGGCAAGGGGCCAATGACAGCCATGGAGGCAGCTCCTGCTTGGAGCTCATCCAGCCCAGCTGCAGCCCTATGCCCTACTGGGGGTGCATAAGTCTTGGAAGGAATACAACCCCCCACCCCTGACATGGCCTGTGTCCCTCAACCCCTTCCCACAGATGTACCTGGAGGGAGATGTGGGACCTGCTAACTACCACCACCTGGTTGCCACATGCATGTGCATGTGCATGCACACACGTGGCACCCCCTGCCTGCTGCCTCAACCAGTGGGTAAGCTCCCCCCTGCCCCAACCAGCCCCTTGGCAGACTGGACCTCAACCAGCCTGCAAAGGAAAACCCGCAGTTTCCCAGGTTTTTCTCCTTTCAAAAGGAGAAACCTGAGGTTCTTTCCTCTGAAAGAGAAAATCTACGTTTTTCTCCGTTATAGGAGAAAATACACCGTTTTCCCCGCAGCAAATGGAAAATCCAGAACCCTGGTCTTAAGACATACATAAAACATGTTGGGTTTTTTAACAGTTTTTGCACTCCTTTGGGTGTTTGTTTACACAGTTAAGTAATTCAGAGTTGTCTCAATCCTTAGTGTGAATTAAATGGGCCTGACTGAGGTTTTAAAAGTCCCTAAATAACCAACAGAAAAGTCAACTAACACCATCTGTTACACAGCAAAGTACAAAACTTTTCAAATTGGAAAAAAGTGAAAGCTTTAAGCCTTGCTTTCATATTTGAAAGTTTTACTAGAACTGTATTTAAGTAAGTAAGGTAAAGGTTAACAATTCTTGACTAGCTCAGACCAGCTATATTAAGAAAGTTAAACTATAAAGAATCAGATTACCCTCAGAAAACATTAAGATTGTGGAAAAGTGCATTTTTTTAGTTAAGAACTTTTTATTAAAGTAATTCACTAGGGCTATACTTTAAACCTAATGGCTGTATATTATGACTTTAGTTCAATTATTAAAACTGAGACAGCAAGTATTAAAATGTAACTAACAACATTACTTGAAACTGTATTCTATTTGTAAGACACTACTGTTCTGTGTTTCTGCTAATAAAATGTATATCATTAAGCTTTATTGTAAACTTTCAAAAATGGTTTAGCTTTGTTATATATGAAAAACAATTAAGCACAATATCAACTGATTTGGGTTATGAAAATAAGTTATCTAAATCATAACTTCTAGCCTGGTCACTCATAAACAGACTTATACCCATAAAAGTAGACAAAAAGATAAAGTACAGCTACTGTTCTACAAAGTTCACAGCAAATCTAATTTTAAACAGAGGACTGTGATAAAACTAATTTCCTTTTTCTTACATCCGGACATCTGGATTTTTTCTATTGTTTTCAAAAGCTGCCAGTATCCTGAGTTAAAGCACAGAAAGTTAGTTATAACTTACCCTGTGAAGAGTCACTGTATGTTGTTCCCATATTGCTGTTTCTTCCATTGTTGTGCTCTGATTAAAAAGAAAGGGAAAGAATAGATTATACCTTCAATATATAGAAGTTTTTTTTTATAACTATCTCAACTAGAAATTTTCATTTGTAATTTGCTAGTCACTATGCATATTAAAGGTAAAAAAAGATGTACATAATAGGAAATGGCTTCTTGAAAGTGTTTTTAAGTGGAAAAATTTTAAAAGATTTCTCACAGATCACCCTATAATAGCTGCTATATGGGTGCTAATTAGTCCTATGGTCCATCTAAAGAGCCCATGGTTTTTGGTTTCCCCAGCACAGAGGTTTGCTTTTTCTGACAAATGAAACAGATATAGGAAAATGTTGTATTAAGTGAACCCTTCCTTCCTCACAAATCCTAAAACTATACTGTCAGACAATCAAAGATACAAGGCTGCTCACATGGCCGACAGCCCCCATATGGCCTTATTTTATCACAGAAAAAAAATCTATGCACACTGCCTCATTTTCTTAGACTATTTAATAACTTGCATCAAAAGCACATACCAGTTTGTACTTTTTATGAGATGCTGAGCTCCCTTCACCAGAGCTAACATCCTAAGAGGGATTTTTAAGATCATTTTTTTAATTTCTTGAGCCTGTTCCATCATGGACCTGTTGTAAACTATACCCAGTTTCTTTTAATTGCCAAGTTCCATACAGGTAATGATATATTTCAGAAAAAACTTTTGAACTCTGCCAAGAGGATGAAATGTGACTATATTCAACCCTTGAATACTAAATCAAGCTTAAAGGAAAGCATACAAGTATTTCTCAGTTGTTTTTAAGCAGCATAGTAAGAAAGGGGAAACTAGTCCAATCTCCAATTTAAATTTTGCTATGATTAATCAAATTAGTTGGTCCACTAATTTGCAATAATCATATAATTTATATGCCTTTCATCTTTTACTTGTTCTACTTATACATGTAAGAATCACCACTATCTGCAAATTACTCACTATGGTTTACAGTACATGAGCTACTGTACTATGTATACAGGTCACGTTTAACTGACTCTGCATTTCAATGCAGTCTCTTCTTACATGAACAGTGGTACTGCAGAGCTAAATAATTTTTTATGTAAGGTAACAAGATTAGAATGTAAATGTTTTCATACTGTTACAAGACCTACACATTTTTGCTTCTGGGGAAAAAAAACTTCGAAAAACTACCCAAAGCACCCAACAATTAAGCATTTGGAAGCAAATGGGGAGTCCAGAAGGGCCATGGGTTTGGCAGAAAATGAAAGCTATAAGCTCCATACTAGTCCCTTATTGCTGGATTTATTCTTTCCAAAAGGAATCATACTCTCATACTCTGTCCTGCACCTTTTACAAGCAAATACCAGTGCACTCTTTAATACCACTTCACTTAGAACAGGTCTAGAAACAGAGATAATATCTGCAAGTAATTTAACAGAAATGAACTTAACACTACAGTTACATGTAGTGTCAAATACTGAGTGCTGTAATATAATTCGATATCTAATGATGCAAAACTAAAGAACATCACAACTAAACTACTAGTATATATATCTTTATAAGAACCAGTCAATTAATAATTCCAAAATCTTACACTATTATTTAGTATCACAAGTATTTAACAGTTTAAAAAGGCAAGTAAAACCCAATGGTTCCAAGGAGCTACTTCACATTTTGCATCAGCAAACAGTTATGATTTGTAGCAATGTTCTCTCTGTCCCCTAAATGTACTGCTTTTTTCTAAATGGAATACATTAAATTTACTCAGTTGCAGCTTCCCCTCCATTCAATATGCTATTGCTTTGTATCAAAAGAGGCATTAACTCTCAACAACAACAGAGGTAAATCTGACTTACTTTGCATTTGGTAGTGCAACTATGTTCTTGATAGATGCAGAACTTTTGAACTTGTGAACATGAAACTGGCAGTAACAAGATTTTCTTTTTATACTAACAGGAAGTCACTTACAAGGAATAATTAATTCTATTATTGGCTGAACAGTTTCAAATGTTGTTCCTGTGCCTTCTTCCGTGCCTCCATTTCTGGATGCTCACATTCTGCTTAGGCACTTAGTCTTAAATGTTCTTGCTAAGCCAGTGAAGAATTGCCTATGTAAGTAAACTATATTTTCTTTACCTAGCTCTCTCAAACCTCATTAATTTATACTGTGGATACTAATTACTTTCCCTTAAAAAGTCAAGTTATTGCTTAATACCCATCTGTCAAATAGCATAAGATAAAGAAGCTACTTAAACGCTTTCTGAAATTGTCCAAAGTTCAAATGGAAAAAAAAAAAAGGTGGAATAACTATAGTAAACAGACAGAACATAGCTCAAGAAACGATACAACTTTTTGTAGTGCTTGTGTGTTGGTTTTAAATACTTCATAAATTTATCAAATGTGGCACCTTGATCTTTACTTTAACACAGTATCTCATTACATAACCAGAAAGAGTTACAATAATGTAAGTCATGTTTCATTTTTCAACGTTGCAGGCATAAAGGTAAATAAAGTAATAAACTAAACATTTTCTAACTATAAATTTCTATGCATTTTGATAAACTAGTACAAATGATAAGAACAACTATAAAAGTATGCTTAGGAAATCAGATGGCAGTCCCATAAATTTAATGAATAACAAAGCATCAGCCTAGGAAACACGAAATAGGAGACCCAGAAAATAATCCCAGACACTATCAAAGGGGTGGGGAAAATACCATTCTATCCAGCCCACAGGGCCCCTAGAAAATTTTTGAAAGTTAAAATTTATCTGTCATTGGCTCCCATTAAAAATGACAGGAACCAGGGGAATCTTCGGCAGCCTGCTGCAACAGCAGGGCCTGCCCGGCCCCGCCAAAAGCCCCAGCAGGGGCTTCTGGTCTAGGACCACATGGCTGCCCAGGTGTGGAGGGGTCGGGGAGAGGGCAGGGAAGGAGCTGGTGTGGAGCGCAGGGAAAAGTGGCTCCTCTCCTGCCCCGTGGCTGGCACTCCCTGCTGCAGCCACTTGCAGAGCTCATGCTGTGGTAGGCTGCAGTGAGGCTACCACCACCACCTCTGGGCTGCCCAGTATGCGAGCTCCAGGCAGGCAGCAACAGCAAAGACTGCCCGGCATGGCAAGTGGGAGGGGGAGGGGGGGGCACAACTACTGCTGCTGCAGCGGGCCCCAGCAGGCGAGCCCAGAGCCAGCGCAGGGCCCAGGTGCTGAGCTCCAGTAAAGCGGCCCCTTGCCTGCCCCGTGACCAGTGCCCTGCACTACGGCCATTCGCAACCCACGCAGGACTGCCTGTGCCTGCTCAGGACAGCCTCGCATGGGCTGTGAGCGCCAGCCACCAGGTGAGTGAGGAACCACTTCCCCACGCTCTGTACCAGCTCCTTCCCTGCCAGCAAGCAGGGGGTCAGGGCTGTGCACTCCCCCCCCCCAACCTGTACTGTGAGGCTGAGGGAACACTGGAGGCTGGGGGAGTGAGTGGGTGCAGAAGTACAGGGCCCTCCCTGCTGGTGCAGCCCAGCCCGGCTCCACAGACCCCTGCCAGCCTGCACCCTGCTCTGGGCCCCACCAGTGCTGGCCATGGGACATTGGTCCCAAGACACTGCAACACTGGTCCCAAGATGGTGACCGGGGGCAGGGCACCTGCGCAGGGGTGGGGCTACCCATGCAGCCCTCGACAGCTTGCCAAAACCCTTCACCCAAAATAACTGCCCGCCCCTGCAGTATCAGCTGATTTTCTCTGTTCCTTTACTGGGCTAAGTGGGCCAACTGTAATATTTGTCAAGACTGAAGTGCTCTTTTTGTGCCAAATGAACTGACTACATTTCAGAATCACTACTTCCCATTAAATTACATCACCTTTGACAGATTAAAGAGCATGTTCCATCAATAATTTAAAGACGATGGTAAATTTTAAGATTAAACATTAAGAATATCCTCAATATTCACTTTGTTTAATCTTTCAATGAAGAATCTTGATGACAATTATTAATGCCTTTTCCAACAATCATGCAAATGACTGACAAATGTTATATTTATTAACTAAATATGTCAAATTAATTTCAGAATATGTGGAATTGTATGTTTCTTTTTTCTCATAATAGTCAAGTGCACTTTTACCCCTCATCCTAAAGGCAAAGCAAGAACAAAGCCAGATTCTGAAAAAAAGCATTATTTAATATATGTTTTGTACTGACTATTGTATATGACAGCCAGATATATCCCAAGGTCTCTCTGAAAGATTATGGCTTTGAAAGAAACTTAATGCATCTTGCAAGTTAAGACTAAACTGTCTATAGTAACAGTGCTCAGTAGCTTAATAGCAGTTGACTTTGGAGGAGTGCTTGAATACTTGTAATCTTGCTGCATTTTTATTGATCAAAAATGTTTGTAATTTCCTTCCCAATATATTCTGGGAGTTTTAAAAAACTCCATGACTACTAGCATACCTTGTCAGAAGTAATTTCAGTGCATAATAAGTTATAATTTCTGTTCTAATTTCTAACGTAATACAGGCCACCTTTTTTGCTTAACAGTAACCCTTGTTACTGTATTGATAAAAGACAATTTGTGAATCTAGATCAGCATTTATCAAAAAAAATGTGAAAGAACATTATAGGCCTTTTGGAATCAGGTCATGGTTGCTTACATTTCTCTATTTTACCATTTTGCTTTACAATCATTTTAATTCACAATGAACTGTAATAATGTGGACCAGTAAGCTACTAGAACATTACACCATTAAAAGGGTTCTAGAACATGGAGAGGGTCAACATGGAGAGGGTCCAGAGGAGGGCCACTCGCATGATCAGGGGGCAGCAGGGCAGGCCCTATGAGGACAGGCTACAGGACCTGAACCTGTTCAGCCTCCACAAGAGAAGGCTGAGGGGGGATCT